ACTGATTTTAATATATAGATAATATGGAGTCTTTGCAGTAAAAAGAGCAGATACTGCCAAAAATTAAAAATTGAGTTTTTGTTATATTTGAATAAATCTTGACATAGGCTATATTTTTTAATTATAAATGGAAATAGATTTTTATAATAAAAAATTGAGATATTTAAAAAAACTTTGTAGAGTTTTGTATATCACAAGATTACTCAATATAACTGACTAAATAAAATCATGAAAATTTTGATTAAACAGGATCAGTCTGAACAAAACAAACTCAATTTTTTCAAAATTATATATATTGACATATCCACTCTTTCTACTACAAAGACTCTATATAAATGTATTTAAAGCAAATTTAATAAATATACTATAAATATATAATGCATCTAGTAATAGCTTGTAATTTAATTAAATAAAATATATATAGTATATAAATTTTATATAGTAAAGATTATTTTGAAAATTAAAAAAATAAAAATAAAATATTATTAAAAGGACTTAATTAGGTATCGCAGCCCTGCAATGTGCTTATATATCGCATTATAATGATTGACCAATCAAATTTCAAGATTATGTATAACGTAGCATGATCATGAAATTTTAAAACAAACGTTCAGTTAGTCAAAAGTTGCTTATAACTCAAAATTTCATATATGAAACTATCTCAAAATTTCATATATGAAACTATCTTACATGCTATAACAATAAAAACTCCTTGAGAACTTTTACTATAAAATCTCTTTTATACCCTAACCCTATCTAACTCTAATCCTAACTAAACATCTAAGTTCTTTTTTTTATTTTTAAGTTGACAATCATATACATGCAATGTATAAGCATATCACAGAGTGCGACTTATACATTTATCCTTATTAAAATAGTAAAATTAGTATTTGTTAAAAGAGCTTTTTATAGGGTTTAGACTCTATAGCTTATTGATTAAGCTGTTAAACTCCTACAGATAAGATGGATAATTCAAATCTACATAAAGGCTATAAAATCTAAGGATTTTTAATCTTCTATAATCTAAAAGAGGAAGTGCTATTTTGAATATGAAGTCCTGTAGCTAAATTTAAGTTTAAGTATGAAACTGAAAAAAAAAATTTTCAAAAAAAAATTTAATTGTAAAATAATGCCAATGTGCGTATCTTCTACAAATAGTTCTGTTATATAAAGATCGTATATATAAGTCTTTAATTAAAGTAATTAGAATAGCACTAACATTTTCAGCAATTAGAAAACTTGCTTAGAAAAGTAACGCAATAGTAACAAAACTAAAGTATTGAAAAAAGTAGTAAACATAAGAATAACTTGTGATAAAAGATTAATCTAACTAGAATTAGAAGCATCTTTAGCATTTTGTATAATATCAGGTTAAGAAAATAGATTATCTAAATAAAGAAAGATTAGCAAGCAACTTGAAGTATATTTAAGATGTGATAAAGAATAGCAAGGTTGTACCCAACTAGAAGTAGTAATACAAAATATAATACAAGGAACACCAACATTAGTAAACACCAAGAGGATTAAGATATTTTTAATTTGAAAGTAATTCTATTATGAAATCTCAGTTAAAAGTTTTAATATCTAATTTTGTGATATATTAATTTCATCAGAAAATTTTTTTTGAAGATTTATATCAATTGCTACTAGCAGGGTTGTTTGTTATTGATTTTTTATACAATATGTATCAATTATCAACTATATATTAATTTATATCACTAATGATATATATTGATTATAAATATATAACAATATATATTGTTATCGATTATTAATAATTATTATAAAATTTGTTAAATTTTATCAAACTTTGATATAGAATTTCTTAATAACTATTGATTAAAATTGGTTGAAATTTTATGTATATAGTAATAGTATTCAACTATAATATATAAAAATCTTAGCCAATTATAATTACTATTCATAAGTAATAGCTTGTATATGATAGATAATTTTTTTTAAAAAATTATCTATTGTATACAAGTAATTTCTTGTAAACTAATAATTATAATTAGTTGAAATTTTTATATATTATAGTTGAATACTATTACTATCTACAGTAAAAATTTTAACCAATTTCAATTGATAGTTATTGAGAAAATTTATATCAAAGCTTGATAAAATTTAACAAATTTTTGCTATATATTATTATATATTTTAATCATATAACCCAGCAGGAGTAATGTATATTGATTATAAACTAGAGATTGCAATCAATATATACTCTAAAAAAAAATTTTCTGATGTTAAAAAGTATTTGTTAGCAAGACCTGCATGCATATGACTAACATCATATAAAACTATAACACCAACATTGAAAGTAACCATGAGGCTATAATTGCCAGATGTTTCTTAATAAAATCTGTAACAAATATCACACTAAGTATCAAGCTGAAAATATAGTGTTGTTAGTATAAGAAATGTGAGGAATCTTTAGGTAAGAAATTGATTAACAGAAGTAGTATACAAAAATCCAGGTCAGATACAAAAGGCTCTGGTAGGTTTAGGTTACAGATAAAGTAGTTTGAGTCTAATATTCTGAGATTAGTCAGTCAGTAGATACATAGGTAAGCAACAAGGTTGTATAGTAGTGTACAAACTTATGATTTAATAAAGATACATGAGACATGATCTCACTTTAACACCAAAAAAAAAAAAGAGCTTTTTATAAATAGTCTTGCAAGTAATAATGCTATATAAAATTATAATTTGTATATAGGTGAGTTAATAGAAATCAAGCAAATTTTTTTATCAATTTTTTTAGAAATTTACCGCAGATCCGTTTAAGAGATAACAATTTCTTCCGTTTTATTACACGAAATTCTGTAATTTTATTGGTTCCGATCTGTGAAGTTTAACATTGTAAACTTATATAAGAAGGACCGGATCAGAAGTTGATCGGCTAGGCCGGAAGTAAAAAAATTTGTCTAGGGTCATAGATTATCGGTATATGTTTGGTTTAAAAAACACGTTGCTAAAACGATAAAATATTCACGATGATTAGGTCACTTGAGCTATGCACATATATTGACACCTTCCAAAAATAAATTTATATATTCAAATGATCTGTTTAACCAGACATTTTCATATTAAATATTTAAGTTTGAAATTTAAAAAAAGTTCCGTTAGAACCAGCTGTGGGTTTATGATGTTATAACTAGAGTCATTAGCATAAAGCCAATTTTAAACAAAACGTTGATATTTTATGCATATTCATTGCAATATTGGAAAATTCGGAAAAAAGAAAATCTTGATTTAAAATGATAGTTAAGGATTAAAAATTCTTGGTAAATAAATATATAATAAATTACAATATCTTTAGTGTTAGGTAAGCATCTGGTTAATTCTGAGATTGATTGATTAAAACCGAAAGTTCACATAAAGCCGTTAGCCTAAAATGATGTATATTTCATCAAGGAATATGAATAATGGAAATAATAATAATAATAAATAGACAAATAAATAATATAAATGCATATATTACAGGATTTTATAAATAATAGGTAAGAACATCTAGCGTAAAATAATAAAGGTTTTATGAAATTAGAAAATATAAATATCTATAAAAATCTTTTAGTTAAAAATTTGTTTCTTGGGGGTCAATGTGGCACGCTGATAGTTCATGGAGGGACTATATTGTTGTTTAGTAAGCACGTTTTCGATTTCTTTCCATGCGCGTTCTTTACGTTCAGTAGGTGATTCTGCGTCCTGATCTTCCATACGATATGATTGCATTTTTTCAACTTTTTTGATTATACTGTTCATAAACATATCTCTTTCTTTATCAGGTGAGAGTTTATATCGTTGAGAGGCATAAATAGTGTCAGCACTTGTTCTTGTCAATTCATTTGTAAGTCTTGTTAAATCCTGAATAAGAAGCTGTTCTGGTGAATGCCAATCCTTTATAAAAATAAATAAATAAATAAATATATTTTAATTAAAAAAGAAGGAATGACTATATAGGTATAATATGAAACATACTTGATTTGTCATTCTATTTTTTTCAAGACGTTCAATAATACCGTTTAGTTTAGCAACTTCATGTTGTCGAATTTGACGAGGACTAAGTTCAACACGCTGATCCACAAAACTTCTTTCAGCAGCCTTGTTTATTTGGTCGACAAGCCGATTCAAAGTTTGATATTTTACAATAGATGAAGAATCAGCGCGTTGTTCTTCAAGACGTCCACGAGATAGTTTCTGAATGACATTTGATAAAGTCGCAGCGGTTAATCTTTTCTTTTGACGTGGACTAAGTTCAACACGTTGATTATTAAGTTGAGGAGCCACATTATAAACACGGTCTATTGCAGAGATAACATTATCCAAATCTAATTTTGTTTTTTCATTGTCTATGTTTATATTTAAATTTCCACTAACTAATGGATATTTTGGCGGATCAACTATAGCTTCATTATCACCTTCTGTAAGGTTATTTGAATATTCAGGAGGTGGATCATTATTGGATCTTTCATGACATAAAGCAGCAACAACTTCCATTAATCGATCAATCTCATTCCAAGTTGCAAGACGTTCATCTGTAACGTTGTTATATAAATTTAAACTTGCACGTCGATTTTGTAAAGTTGTTACTTCTTTATGTAATGTACTATAAATATCATCATTTGAAGTAGATTGTAAAATTTCTTCAGAAGCTTGGATAGTATTTGATAATTCAGATGTAGAACATGGATTAGGATTTTTAGAATCACATAATTCTAATATTCTATACAAATATCCAAGTAAGGCAGCCAAAGTACATGCTAAGCTATAATTATCACTTAAAATAACCGAATTACTCGAATTTAACTGACGCCGAATTATATCAAGTGTAGCAACATCAGGTGAATATTGCTGTCTTGAATCTATTTGTAACATTTCATTTCCAGTACTCAGCATTGTTGCATTTTGAGCAATATCAGCCAATAGTTGAGATCTTATCCAGGAATTTCTCTCTTCTTGGGGTAAATGTTCTAATACAGGATTAGCATTTTGTGACAGAGAATCACTAAAAGAGAAAGAACGTTTTCTCCAAGAATCCATTTTTGAATGTGATGACCTTATTTCAGATGTCATAATATAAGAATTGTGATCGGCAACAATTTGACGTAGAAGACTATCTAATGCTATGAGTGCAACATGCTTTACACTAGTTAAAGAATCAATAACATCCTACAGAAGAATTTTAAATAAAAAGACAAACTTTATAATTTATTTATTTAAAATAATAATCAAACATTGATAGATAATTTATTACCTGTGATATTAATACATTGTTAATTTCCTCTCTTTCAGGATTTGAATCTCCTAGGTCTTGTAAAATGGATACTTCTCTTGACTGAACATTAGTTTCAATGACATTATTACTACATGAACCATTCTCTTCGAAGGTATATTTAGTTGGTACCAAAGGTTGATCTAAGCCCAATTCAGCGTCACTGAAACTTTCGCTTAACAACAAATCAAGAATGTGATGATCATTTTCTTCGATTGTCGTTATTTGCATAGAAGTACTAGAATTAGAATGTTTTTCTTCATTCAAAAGATCCGTGCGAAGACCTATATTTGCAGGCATAGATCTCTACCGATAAAAAGAAAGATTGGTAACATATTAAACAATTTTAAATTCAACTAAATAGAATTACTTACTCGTTTAGCCTTTGACCGGCTTTTTTTAGTTAATTCCACAGTTGCCATTTTTTTTTTAAAACAATTCGAAGTAGATGTTGGTATGTATGTACGTAAGTATGTACAATTTAAATAATTTTATATTATTAACGTTGCACATTTAAATAAATACATACATGTGTGTTATATGTGTGACGAACTTTGTGCAAATTGGATCGAACAGATGCGCATATATGGCAATAGAATACTCTAGAATCAAAGGATTGAACTTTAAACGGTCAATCTTGTATTCTTTGAGATGGCAAAATTTTGATAAAGGGTGATTATAGTTCATGTTTGAAGAATTTTACTTATTCTTGTTATACGTAGTGGGTAGCCTTCTGATTCAGATTAAATTCAAATATAACCAAATTAGCCAAGTGAAACACAAACATATAGAAAATAAAACGAAAAGCATTCAACTAACTGTAAAATTGTCATCATAATAACTGATAAATGGTGTGATAAATCATTGTTTTTTATAATAAATCAACATTTTTTAGGTAGTTAAATACTTACTTTGTCACCGAGAGTACATACAAATAGGTACCCGATATTTACCGATTGATTTATATTGGCAATATATAAAAAAATATCAGAAGCATATCGGGTTAAAAATAAATATCGGGTATTCTATTTATTTTTAACCTGATATGCTTCTAATATTATTTTTATATATTGCCAATATAGATCAGATTTTTGGCGCCAATAGTTAGCAATCGGTAAATATCAGGTACCCGATATTCATCTGTGAATGATTCCATTTATTCAAATTTGGCGCTGTTTTTTCTAAATTTATTAACCAATAAAATAATTTATTCAAATGAAATATTTATACATGCAGGATAAAACCGGATGTCGATTTAAGGATTTGCCCGGCCGGAGTGGAAGTTAACAATTAAATAAATTCGGGTTAATTATATTAGCATTAACGTTTAAGATTTCATCACTTCAAAAGTCCATTATAATAGGAGTCGTACTATATGATATAAAGAAGGTACTCTGATAAAATGAGATATCTTGTGTTCTATTCTTGCGTTCTAATGATTGAGTAATATTTATCAATCCCTCTCAATGAATCGAATGATATCAAAATTGACAGAATCCAATCATTGAATCCTTAGATATCTTAATTTTACATCTCAATTTATCATAATACCTATCTTCTCCTTAATAAATTTTACTAAACTATATATTAGTAAACACGTTCGAACTTCTGTATCATTCAATTTTCTCATACCAAAAAGAAACAAAGGGTTGCAAAATCACTTGTTAAATCATTTAGCAATCAATCAAATCAATCATCTCAATTCGTTAAATACACCATCCCTTTTTAAAATTCAAAATGTTTTATTATATGTACGTATCATTATTCCGAGTTGAGCATGGGTTATGTGGCAAAAAACCAAGACATTTTATTTTGAGTATAATTTCGTGTCTCCATGTGACATTTGGGTGGTGAGACTATACTCATTTGATCCAAACTTCTCTATGCATGATCCGAAGGTATGTACGTACGTACGTACATACATACCTGATACATATCAATATACGTATTTCTAGTTTCAGAGCGATTAAGACATGTGCAATACCGTAACCGTAACGGTAATAATACTTGTGTCAAATTAATATCTGCGTCAGATTAAAATAAATATAATCTCACTAATAACCACGTACGTACCATTACCCTAACATATCTTTCACCCTAAACCTAATGAGACACAGTGTTATATGTATACGTATGTAGATGTAATGTATATCGATATACATACTGTATGTATATACATGTGAGTAACGGTAATTCATACTTCCAATAAAATTATTTAAGGGTCTTAATAATAAATTTACCAGTGTCCAATATAACGGCTTGTTCAATCCCAATTACCAATATTTGTGGATCTTTTTGTGCACAATAAGCAAACATGATCACGTACGTACGTACGTACGTACACTCCCCTGACATTGATCACCGGAATTTTCAAAATTATATACGATCGACGGTTATGACTCACGTCATACAATA